CCGCAGCCTCAGCACGTTCGCCGGGTCGCCGCTGTTGGCAGTCGTCCCTGGTGCCACGCCTGGTGCTGGCAAAAGCGAAGACGGCCAGCCCCGAGCCCACGCCGCTTCCAAGCGACATTCCATGGACGATGGTTTCGCGGACCCTTTCGAATGTTTGGGCGAGGGCGACGGCCAGGGACCCCCTCCGCGCACGGGCTTCGAGAAGCCACCCGAGGTCGAGCAGGTCTCGGAGGAGGCTTTGGGCCGAGGGCCAGTGGACGGCGGCCGAGTTGCGGCTGAGGAGGTTGGCGGGGATCAGTTTCAGAGCTTCCGTGGCTTTGGGGCGCGGCAATCACAGCCCCTCACGTCCCACCTCGTCGCCGCCGTCTCGCCCAAGTGATATCGGAGCACACTTGGGAGCGAGCGGCTAACGCCAAAGCTCCAGCCTCTACTCCGTGGGGAGCGATCGGCGAGTCGGCCGCCTGCCGCGTCGGCGCCAAGGTCAGTGGGCCTCTCAGCGACACATGCGCTAGATGGGTTCGGCAGGTCGAAGCGGCTAGACGTCGGCATACGCGAGAACCCCAGCACGGCCGAGGCCTTTCTCAAGGTGATGGTGTCCGCCTGGTCGGGCGCCAAGTGCCAGCGGTTCAACGCCGCACCACCCACGCGGAGGTCACCGACAGCGACTGCGCCGTGGGCTGGCGGGCGGCACTACACACGGCCCTGGGGGAGTTCGTGCACTACTCCAAGGGGGTCATCAGCCGCACCCCTGTGGCGCGCGCAACTGCTGCTGATCGCCGTCGTGCTGCCGCCGAGTGTCGCCTTCTGGTTCAGGACGTCCCCGAGCATGCCCGACGTGCTCTTGCCGCTGGTCGAGGTGGGGGTCGACATGCTTGTGGGGCAGCCGCTGAGGGGCCGCCCACCACATGGGCCAATCTGGGTCGGGACCTCCGCGCTCTGTCACGCTTGCCCATCCAAACCGTCGACCGTGTGCTGGGGGTCGTGTTGCGGTGCCCGCGCCGTGCGCGGGGCCGCGCCTTCGGCGCCTCCCTGCGCTGCTTCAAAGATTGGATCGTCACGCCGCGAGGTCCATCTGTACTCTTCAAGTCCTTGAAGAGGCAGCCCGACCTGGCCGACGAGACGTTCGACCCTCAAGGACTTCAGTCCCTCGTCCACCCCCGCGACCTGGTGGACCACAAGACCAGGGTCTGGCACGAGCTGTGGGAATCCGGCCAGGAGGACATGCGCGCAGCCGACGCTTTCTGGGGCGAGCAGAGCGAGCTGCTAGGTGTCGAGGACCTTCCCGCGCTGGATCTCTCCCAGTTGAGGGCCGCCCTGCAACGCACGCGCCCTCGAGCAGGCAGAGGTGTCGACCAACTACGCCATGCCGACGTCGAGCGGCTTCCCGATTGCGTCCTCATCGAGCTTCTCGACCTGTAATCTGAGTGCGAGCAGGCGGGTTGTTGGCATGGCAAATGCTTTTGGTCTCGGGGCAGCTGCTAGCCAAGAAAGCTGGGGGCGAGCGAGTGATCGGCATCCTCTGCGTGATCGGAGCCAAGCCCGCGAGCCCGTCATCCAGGACTGGAGTCAGGACACGGCGCCGCCTTGGGATGCCGCGGCCCGCGGGGACGCAGCTGTCTTCGAGGCCTTCGTCCGCGCAGCCGACGAGGGGGCCTTCGTCCGCGCAGCCGACGGGAATGCCTCGCCACCGTCCGGCAGCTCTTGCATGGGGCCCAGGATCCTGCACGTCGCCTACCGCGACAGCAGCTCGAATTTCGGTTTCAAGCATGGCGTCGCGATGCTGACTTTAGGCGACGAGTTCAGCAAGCACGGATTTCGGTTCACTGTCGGCTACGGGACGCTCTACCTGCTCAGCGCCATCGTCAAGTTCGCGGCCAGGTTTCAGCGCAGCGCTGAAACCGGGCCTGTCGCACTCCGTTAGCAGAGCCAACAGCCTGTTGGCTCTGCTAACGGAGTGCAACTGGGACCCCGTGGGCCCGCGCGGGTGGGCGCGCCCCCCCCCCCTGGGGGAGGATGGGGGCGCTGGACATTCACCGATGTGGAGGCGCTTGTCGACGGCTGCACCCCCAGTAGTGGCTCGACGCTTTCGGCGCCTCGGTGCAGGAGCAGCTACGCAGCGACGCCGCCCTGCACTGGTGCGGGGAAGGTCTGCAACATGGGGCCGACTTGGCCTCCTATCGCGCCATGGTGAAGATGCTCGAGGGATCCCAGCAGCACCGGCACCTCGCGCCCCTCATGGTGCCCAGTGCAACTGGTGGGCCATGGCCTGGCGAGCGGGTCGCCAACACCTTCGGCACGCAGGACTCGGTCGAGTGCATATGCCCCAGGCGCGGGCACCTGGCCGACGCGCGGCCCCGCCCTCCATCCGCATGACCACCGTCCTCAGCTCTACGCACGCGCTGCACGACGGTGGGATCAGCTGTCGCGCACGTCTGCAGGGCACACCAGTCGAGCGGCGTGGCTAGCCAGCGCATGTCGAGGGCTCGTGGCGTGCGGCGACGACTGGGCCCGCCTTGCCTCAAACGACATTCCGTTGCACATCGGTGACCAGCAGGTGCGCGAGTCGCAGGCGATGCAGCTGCAGATGTCGCTGGACGTGTGGGGGGCTGCCTTGCCTGCGGCTGCCACGCGCGGCCAGGGTTGCGGGCGCTCGGACGAGGCCTACTCGCCAAGTGCCAAGGGACCACGCCCGCTGGCCGAGAACATCTCGAGCGACTTCGGCATGGACTATGGCCGAAGGCAGGCGCCACCCTGCGCTCCGCCCGCGGAGACGAGTAAACCGCCGAGTGCGACATCGACGAAGGTGGCGCCCTGGAGGTCGTCCAACTTCAGTGCAGGCAAGGGGCCAGGAAGAGTTCTCTGGCGGCCACGCGGCTATGTCAGGCTGCAGGCGGAGGTGCTCATAAAGCCGAGCGGGGCCCTGGCGTCAGAGCGCAAAGTCCTGGTGTGCCACTGCGGCTACCAGGCTCCGTCGCCGCAGGCGTCAGTTCGCAAAGTCCTGGTGTGCCATTGCGGCTACCAGGCTCGCCGTCGCCATGTGCGCCCCAGCTCGGCACTGGTCTGGAAGTGGATGATGATGTGGAGGTCGTGATGCCCGCGGGCCCGCTGAGCACCACGAGCGCTGCGAGCCCTCGTCAGAGGGCTGCTGATGGCGCTGCCGCTGGCGTGAGGCGCGGAGAGCGCACCGCTACTGGTGGGGTAGCGTGGGTGGGTTCCGACCACCACGAGGGGCGGCGTGATGGCCAGGGGGGATGGGGGAGCAGCTCTGGGAGCCCCCCAAGGCCCCCCCAAAAAAACCCAAGGAAGGCACAGCCACGCGACCGCTCCATACGCGACATCCAGACGTACGGTGACGAGGGGGCCCACATGAACCACGACATGGTCTACGGCTCGCGAGCTCAGCCCAGCTCGAGGTTGCAGATGATGAGGGCAAGCATAGGCGCACCCGTGGAAGACGTGCCTCACCCGCCGCTGAGCGTGGCGATGGTGTTGATCCCGCTGGGGGAGGTGACGAGCGTGGCGTAGTGGTCAGTCAGGTCGGGGACCTCCATCGCAGCGCCCGCGCCTCGGAATCGAGCCCAGAAGGTCCTGCTCTCAGTGCTCGCGACCATTCCACTTCGGCGAGCGGGGACGCAGGCAGTGGCGTAGAGCAGGACATAGCACCCAGCACCGAGCGGGCGGACTTCGAGGTGCACGTCCTCGCCCTGGAGCACTCCTCGGACATCACCGGGGACGGCGACAACAACGTGCTGGACACGGAGGGCACCAGGCCCCCGCCGCGGCCATCGCGCGCCGCGCAGCTGCCGAAGGCTGTGGCGCTGCTGGGCAAGCTGCCGCGGGGGGCGCTGGCGGGGCCGATGGGGGGCGCTGCAGCGAGGCCCTGGGTACCCAGCAAGACGGGTCGACGGCTTCGGAGGGTGGGCTGGCGACGGCTGCCCTTAATAACACTGCTCACCCGAGGAACGGTGCACCCTCCCCGGCTACGGATACCCCGCCCGCTGCTGGACCCAGCGAGCCGAGCAGCGCCCCCCCCATGCAGGTGGCCGAGCTGTGACCAGGCCAGCACGGCTGCGAGGCGGGCTCGCATCGCGAGCTCGTTGATCACAGCGGCCACTGCCCCACTCAGGGCGAACCTCGGCGCCGAGCCCGACGCCGTCCCCGACGCCTCAACCTTCGCCTTCATCGACGACGTTATTTTTCAGTGGGAGCCTGTCGAGGCGACGGACCAGCCCGAGTCGGACGAGCGCAGGGCAGACCCCGACGGTGAGACCGTCGGCGTCTCCGACGTCATGTTCGACGACAACCCCGACGTCGAGCTAGAGCAGTGGGAGCTCGCCGAAGAGAAGGGCCAGCCCGTGGCGGACGAGGGCCCAGGCTGCACGTTCGGAGCAGCTGCTGGCGCCGCTGATCTGCGTCGTGACAACGGCCGAGATCCACAGGCGCGCGGGACGGCGCGGTCGCCAGAGCAGCCGCCGCGGCCGCCCCTCCCGCCCCCGCGGCAGCCCGCCATGTCCTTCGGCGAGCTGGTACGGCGGGTGGCGGGACCGCCACCAGCCTGCCGCGGGCAGCGCGGCTGAGGCGGCCAGGCCCGGCGGCTCGCGTGACGGGACATTGGCCAGGCCGCAGGCCGTGGTGCCTCACCACAAACCGAGGGTCTGCCCGCCACTTCTCTGTGGGTGGGGGCCCTCGGTCTTGCGCCGCGCCATGGCGCGCCGTCTCGCTCGCGACGATCGCGAGCGGCTGAGCGGGGCGGGCGCGGTGTCCCGTCGCCCGACCTCGTCTCGGTGTGCTCCACTCCACTCCTCCTCCCGCACCCGGGCTTTCCTTCCCGGGGGGCTGCCAAGTCCCGTGGCCTCCCCCAGGGCGGTGCGGGAGTTCACTCCCCGCCCTCGCCGCCTTGGGACGGGACTGGCGGTCCTTTTACCCCGTCATGTCGTGTCGTTGTCGGTCGTCGTCGTTGCCGCGAAGGCCGGGTTTGATGAGCGTACCGCTGGAGGCCCTCAGCAGCCCGACTGCCGCGGCTTGCGTTTTCCCCCGCTCCGCTCGGCCGGCCCGGCCCGCCGGCCGTGTGTGCGGGGCGCCGTGGGGTCCCTGGGCGGCCAATGCGCCGCCCAGGGCCCCGCGTGCGACAATGGTGTGGCCTGTGCGTGCTATGTGCATGCCGCGAAAGCCGTGGTGCTCAAAATTCTCCTCCTCCTCCTCCTCCTCCTCCTCCTCCTCCTCCTCCTCCTCCTCCTCCTCCTCTTTCTCTCTTGTGTGTTGCTAGGCATGCCGTGGCCCAAGGTGTCCCGAGGATTTCCAAGGAGCACCAATCGGCCTCGAGGGAACCACTTACGAGGTCCAGAAGGCCCCAGGAGCTCCAAAATGGAGTGACAAAATCGGGGCCCTAGGGCCAGGGGCACCTTTCGCATTTCTCGACTCCCCGCCCCGTCCTCCCCCTCCTGTCCGCATCTTCCCCTTCTTGCCCCCCCTCCTCCTGCTCCAGGCTGAGGCAGACCCGCTGCTCCTGCAAGGGCAGGCGGCCAGCCTTGGCCTGGCCCTGGGCGGCAGCCTCGGGGCCGCCGCCGCCCCTGTACCCCAGGATCTTGTTGCCCTTCCTGAGGCGGACGGGGGAGCGACGAGACACGGCGTCGTGTTCCGTTGGTCGCCATCGCGCCCGTGGCCAGCCCCCCCCCCCACACAGACACAGACACACACAGACACAGACACAGACACAGACACAGACACAGACACAGACACAGACACAGACACAGACACAGACACACACAACCCCCTGGTCATGTCAAGAGTCGCGCCAGGGGCCGCCCATCCCCAGGCAAAGGAAGAGGGGGGGGGGCGAGGAGCAAGGAGGGAGGAGGATGACAACGTATGGGAATGGGCGGCGAGAAGATGCAGAGGGGAATGGGGAGGAGAGAAAGGAGGAGGGAGAGGAGGAGGACGAGGACAACGCTTAGGAACGCTCCAGTTTACCAGAGGCCCATGTGGGCCCGCACCAGAAACGAGGGAACACCACACTAACCGCGGAACAGAAGCCCCGAGGGAAGCCTGGCCAAATCACGACTCCTCCGAAACATCGGTGGCCTTCGTTCTGGCTCGCTGCCTCTCTGCGACGGCGGCGGTAGGGTCTACTAAAATTCTCGTTTCCGCCGGGATTCTCACCCCGGAAGAATAACCTAAGAGATCTGAAGTTACCACCTGCAGCGCCCGGAATGTAAAAACCAGAACGCGCACAATGATAACACGAAGACTGGCCCAGGAGTGCAGGACATGGGACTGGCCGAACTCAAGGACAGTGGGCCTCCCCACCACGTTCTATGCATGCGCGAGAGAACTCCAAACGCGATCGCGGCAACTTGTTCGTCGTAGTTCGCCGTCATCTGATCCCACATCTCTACATCATCGCCAGAGGTGTCCTCGGCCCAGATGAACTGGCTGCCAAGCTCTGCAATGCACGAGTGTATTCTGGATGCGAGGGCGCACACCTGGGCCCTGAGGTGAAACCCCACATCCTTGACGTAGGCCCGGCGCCGAGAAAAGAATCCGCGCAGACCCCCGAAACTTCCCCATCTGACGAATGGGGGGCTGCTTGAGTTGCAGAAGTGAGCCCCCGACCTGCCTCGCACGCCCTTCGACTACACCTTTTTCCGTCCGCGGCGAGGCGGAGGAGATCCGCACCAGCGTGTGGCTAACCAGGGGCACCGATAGGCAAACGCCATTCGACTACACGCAAGAGTGACCCTGGGTAAGAGTGACCTTTGGTGCGCGGCTTTTTGGGGGACCGCGGAGGGCCACACACGAGCGCGCAAGACGCTACTACTGCCTCACGTTCGGCGATCGGGGAACCCCATTGGGCCCGGACCAAAGGCCACTCCAGCGAGAGGTCACTCCTACGTGCATTCGACCATGCCGCGGCCGTCAGGCCAAAAGCGTGTTGGCGCTCCTTGGGCATCCCGCCTCTTGGGCCTTCGGCGAAAATAACGATGGCATGCTGCGACCGCCCGGGCCCCCGAAGGGACCGGTGCTCCCTGGGTATCCCGCCTCGCCTTCTGGGGTGGGGATAGCTCGAATGAACATCGTTTAACCGATCCCTGCAATCGAGAATGCGATCGAGAGAACTATAAAGTAAGAAACCTGGGCCAGCTTCCGGGAAGAGTCTTCAATCAAACCTTGCAAATATCTGCAGTAACGCTGGAAGGCGAACGTGTTCGAAAACTGGGCCAGCTCTCTGGCAAGTTGGTTGAGAAACGCTGGCCCAGCTTTTCGAGGGAGGTTTCTTAATCAAATGCTCGACTGCCTTCCCACTGGCGTGGCCTTGGCCCCACTGGCCGCCTTGCACGGCTAGGTGGGAATATGTGCATATGCCTTCGGGTCTTGCGGGGACGATGCCCACCCAGGAAGGTAGGCTGGTGGGGGCTGAGATGCCGTGAACCGGTGGGAGTGGGGATGGGTTAGACGATGCTGATCGCAACATGATGCTGTGCGCTTATGCTGTTACCGTACATCTTCCTCCACTAGAGCACCCCCTAGGACCCGCGAGTTCCTGTTCAGCACCACGCCGGGCTGCAGCCGGCGCAGGTGCGTCGTCGGGGCCATCCTGCGCGACAGGAGGCCCGGGCGAGCGGGAGGAGGGTGGGGGGGCTGTGGCGCAGCGCAGAAAGCCGGCGTGCGTGTGCAGATGGGCCCGCCGAAGTGCGGCGCATCAGCGGGAAGGAAAGCCAGATCTCCGACGATACGATCAAGAACTATTGCTCGGCGTGTCGCGGCGGCGACCCCTGCGGCACGCTGTGGCGTGTAACCGCGGGGCGGGAGGCCTGGAGCAGCGCGAAACGCTGACGCCAGGGGGCCGGGAAGCCGTCAGCGTGTCGCGACGAAGCGTGGTGGGCCAGGACTGCGGAACGACCCGCTAAGCCAAAGCGCCCGGGGGTGGGGAGGAGGAGGAGGAGGAGGAGGAGGAGGAGGAGGAGGAGGAGGAGGAGGAGGAGGAGGAGGAGGAGGAGGAGGAGGAGGAGGAGGAGGAGGAGGAGGAGGAGGAGGGGAGGAGGAGGAGGAGGAGGAGAGGAGGAGGAGGAGGAGGAGGAGGAGGAGGAGGAGGAGGAGGAGGAGGAGGAGGACAGTCTGGTTTCTTTGCAATCTGTACGTTTTTCCTAACTTCAGCCTCTGGGGCCCGCCACCGAGCACCTGGACCATTCAACATGTCGCAACGTGGCAGCTAAAACAGAAGTCGGGGGGGGGGAGGGGGGGGCGAGATACCCAGCAGCCAGGAGGCCGCCGAGAGGCAGCCCGACGCCAGAGCAGAGAAAGAGTGGAGAAGAGGGGGAGGGAGAGAGGCAGAGAGAGGGGGAAGGAGGGGAGAGAGAAAAGAGCAGAGAGGAAGGGAGGGGGAGGGAGAGAACGCGAGAGAGAGAGAGAGAGAGTACGACGCTGGCTGGCGGACGCCGCGCTCCAACGACCGGGCGCGAGGGCGTGCACGGCCGAGCGAGGGGAGTCGCCCGTGCGACTCCCCTGCGGGTGCCCGCGGCCCGCCGACTCTCCCCCCAAAAGACAGCACGGGGAGAGCGCGGCGGCGGGCACCGCCGAGAGCGTCCAGGGCGCGATCGGTGCAGGCACGGGTGGAGCAGCGCGGGGAGCACGGATGTGCTCCGAGGAGGAGGAGGGAGGAGGAGGAGGAGGAGGAGGAGGAGGAGGAGGAGGAGGAGGGGAGGAGGTGAGGAGGAGGGAGGGAGGAGGAGGAGGAGGAGGAGGAGGAGGAGGAGGAGGAGGAGGAGGAGGAGAGGGAGGAGGAGAGGAGGAGGAGGAGGAGGAGGAGGAGGAGGAGGAGGAGGAGGAGGAGAGGAGGAGGAGGAGGCGGAGGGAGGAGGAGAGAGGAGGAGGAGGAGGAGGAGGAGGAGGGAGGAGAGAGGAGGAGGAGGAGGAGGAGGAGGAGGAGGAGGAGGAGGAGGAGGAGGAGGAGGAGGAGGCCGAGGATCGACGGATCGATCGAGCATCGGGGCCAGCTCGGGGGCGCGCGGCACGGCGCCGGGAAGTGCCAGTTGCCCTTGCGGTGCTTACTCCGTGGGGAGGTCGCTCGCGCGGCGTGGCGCTCTGGCCCTGCCCGCACCGGCTCTTCCCCACGCAGGAGCAGGTTGGCAGGGGCCCTGGGACACACAAATAAAAGGATTCCCCATATTTTCCTATATTTTCTGGGTTTCTGTCTCCTCCCCCCACTTCCAATGTTTTCCCATATTTTCTGGGGAGTCGACGATTAATTGTGTCTGTGTGGTTTTTCCCCTCCCGAAGGTTGGCAGGGCGGCATCCGCGCCTTGCAGATGCCTGCTATCGGGGGAGAGCGAGGAGGAGAGGGAGGAGAGGGAGGAGGAGGAGGAGGAGCAGCAGCAGGAGAAGCAGAAGATAGGGGGGCTGCAGGAGGAACAGGACGAGGAGGCTGCAACTTCGCCGAGTGTGAGCAACCAGACTACGCCACCAGTCGCACCAGTCTAGACGTGAAACCCCCTTCTGCGTACTACTCGTCCAGCTCTTCCTCAGACCCGGCCTCTCGTCGTGGTCGGAGTCATCCTTCTTCGCCAAGGCTGGGATGATATGGATCATTCCTTCAGAGCACGAGCGCCTCTGTTTCCTCTCTCTGCTAGCGCCCATCGTCTCTCACAACGTCTCCCAGAACGACCAGTACATTATTCTCGGCCTGTTGCCCCGAAGATCCCACCGACAACAAAAATCACGCGACGGGAAAATCCGCTAGCCCCCTTCAGGGGTCACCTGGCTGCGAGAGGTGAGGGTTATCGCGTAGGTAGCATACGTGAATGCTCCACGTAAACTTGGCGGGCATGGAGCAATGTACGCACACACACGTGTTTCTCCACGGACGATCACCGCTGAGATTCAGTTTACGTGTTCTGGCAGACGCGCAAGATATCTGGCGAGCTCAATTAAAACATGTCAGGTTTAGTCATCGCTGGCGATCGCGAGGCCAATGCCTCTCAGCCTTTGGCTGTGCAGGACCGCCTCGGACCCCTCAGGCGCCTCCCAAGGCCTCCGACGGACACCCCTCAGCCACCAATATGGCGTCCAAAGTTGCCTTCTACAAGTGAAAGGCATTGAACAAAGTACCACGTGCAGCTTTGGTTGTCGCCACCTGGTTTGCTTCCACGAGGACCAAATGAATGTTGAGGCCCACCCCTGGAGGCTCCAGAATGGCTCTATGCTGACGCCCCATGGTGGCCCGAAGAGGCCCCATACCTCAAAGATCGCCTAAGATGGCCCGACAAGGCCAAACGTGTGCCCCAATGTTGGCCAACATGAGCCCACGGTGCCCCCACCATAGACCCGGTGCTGCACGACGCACGAGGGCGCAACGAATCCCCGCAACGAGGTCTCAGGAGACCGCAGAGTAGCGCAACGCCACCCCCCCCATCTACACACCCCAAAGTCCCTTTCAGACACGACCCGCACGCGACAACATCTTCCAGACCGATCGCATCCAAGCGGCAGGTCCCTCCCCGGGGGGGGGGGCAGCCGCGGAGGGGGGCGAAGCCCTCGGGATAATACTTCGGACGCGGTGTGTGTGTGTGTGTGTGTGTTTGTTTGTGTGTGTGTGTGTGTGTGTTTGTGTGCGTGTGCGTGTGCGTGGTGTGTGTGTGTGTGTGTGTGTGTGGGTGGGGGGGGGGGCGGTCTAGGCCGCTCTGCCCCCTGTCCTTCCACAGAGCTGGTGCCAACGCGTGCCATCCTTGGAGGCCTCGCAGATGGGGTTCGAACAGGTGGGGCCGGAGGGCTGCCCCGCATCGCAGTTGCCGAGGCTCGGCGCCACCGGCGTGGAGGAAGCCGCGCTCCACGTCGAGCCGCATCGCCGATGCATTGGCGGCCAGATCCTCCGAGCCCATCTACTAGTCGTGGTCGGGAGTCATCCTCGTTCTTCAAGGCAGGGCTGACATGGATCACACCTTCAGGGCAGGAGTGAGACACTCACGCCTACTGCCGTCTCGTCCTTTGCGGAGTCTCGGCCCCTCACCTGTCGGCAAAGACACATCGAATGTGGGAGGGGGGAGGGAATGGAGAGGAGAAGGAAATGGGGGTGAATAGCAGCAAAAGCCATCCTTTTTACATCCAGGTCGTACGACCCGTCAGGGTTGATCGTCTTAACCACAGCCTGGCGCGGGCTCCCTCAGACTCAGACCAGATCTCCACATCGTCCCCCTCCTCCTCCTCCTCCTCCAACTCCTCCTGTGCGTTCTCCTCCGTCGCTCACCTCTTCATGCTCTTCCTTCGTGCTACTGCTCATCAGTCCGTCCTCGACTGTCTTCTACACCACCATTCCTCCTTACATGTATGTAAACAAAAATAGATAGATCGTTAGTTACACGGCTAGGCGGCGCTATCTCTTCACAATGTAACCCCAAAGGGCCTTTAATAAACCCCCGGGCAAAATGAGAAAATGACTAATTTTATTGACGGATTGGGACCCCGACACTAGTTGTAAATGATTTATTATCGTCGGCGGGTGCATGAGAGGTCATGAGAAGTTCTCAAACATCCCATCGCTGAACGCCTGGCGGCCTCCTCCCCCTCCTCCTCCCCCTCCTCCTCCTCCTCCTCCTCCTCCCCCTCCTCCTCCTCCTCTCCGATACACCACCGCCACCGCTGCTGCGCGCACGGAGGGGAAGGAGGAGGGAGGGGAAGGAGGAGGAGGAGGAGGAAGGACGAGTTTCTATTCCCCGCCGAGAGCTTAGGGGGGCATCATTAAAGACCCTCTGCGGTTAATGTATATCGTGTTTCTGACATTCACACAAACTACCTGATTATCAACCCTGGTGCTTCCAACAGATCCACGGAAGAAAGGCGGTACCCTTTCAACACATGAGGATACCGGCGACTATGCAATCAACGAACATGATAAAACATCTGGCTGCTACTTCCAGCAGTAGCACAGATGGGCAGCTGTCTCTCTTCAAAGTGTAGCTCTCACCTGGGACTTCTTTTCCTTAACATGCCGACCCCTTGGGGGAACTGTCGTGTGATACCCCTGCCCCTGCCCTAGCCCCTCCCTAGGCGGGCCGATCCTGCAACGGATGAGGGGGGAGGAGGCAAGTGGTGCCAGATGGTGCCAGACTCGATGCTGGGCTTCGGAGCTGATCCCACGGGCTCCAGAACCTTCCCTGAGGGCTCTATGGGGCTCGCAATTAAAGCTGGGTGGCTGGGAGGAGGATGCAGGGAGGGGAGAGGAGGGAGGGGAAGCGATGATGGGGGGGAAGAGTGGAGGGGGGGAGGAGGGAGGAGGAGAAGTGTGGATGAGCAGCAGCAGGGACAAAAAGGAGCAAGGAGGACGCTATCCTCCCGCTGCCTCTATTCTCGCTCATGACTCCATTGACCACGTCTTCCTCTTCGTCCTCTTTCTTCCTCTCCTCCTCCTCCTCCTCCTCCTCCTCCTCCTCCTCCTCCTCCTCCATCTCCTCCTCCCCTTCCTCATCCTCCCTTTCGCTTCGTACAGCTGGGGCCACCTTGGGGCGCCGCTGCGCCAACGCACTCCCCACGCGGCCGCCTCCGTCACCCTCCTACATTAGACATCCTCCGAATCGATTCGTTTCACTCCGCAGCACCAGAGGCCCCGACGCACTCCCCAGGGTAACTGCTCGTCCTGGCTCCGTCCTTTTTGATCACGGGGCCCGATGGTTGTCCGTTTTGCTTTCGATCCTGGCCAAGTCTACCTGCGTGGAGGGGGTAGATAGGGGGGGGTGCGAGGCGAGGCGAGGACTGAAAAGACCTCGTCACTCCACGCAGGTCGGGACCCGCTCGCACGCCCTCCCGGCCCAGCGCTGCTGGGCAGAGCGGCGGAGGAAGGGGGGGGCGAGGAACACCGCCCCTGCCAGGGAACCTGCTGGCAGGAAGTGTGCACTCCAGCAGGCCCCCGAGGCCGGAGCGTCTGGTCCAGGAAAGACCGCCCGAGGATCGAGGCACGTGCAGGTCCTCGGAGGTCCGGGCCCGTCCCCGCCCTGCCGCCGCCGCACCGTCTCTCGGCGCGCCAGCTGCCGGGGCCCCCGCCAGGATGTACTTCTGCAGGGTCTCGCTCCAGTACTCCACGCGCTCGCCCACGTCGTAGGCGGCGACGTCGCGCTGGCGCGGAGGGGGCAGGATGTGCGGAGCGGAGGGGCAGGGCCAGCGGCCAGGGGACGCTCCGCGGCAGAGTCGGCCCCACGCAGGAGGGATCCTGGGCAAGAGCGACACTTCGCTGGGGGGGGGCCAAGCTTGAGCAGGGACCGACCGTCTGTGGTCCCCCCCTTTTTCGCTCGAAACGTCATCCCCTACCCCTCTTGGGCATCGTTTAACCGACCCCTATCCCCATGAACGTGGCCTGGGCCCCAATGGGCGATTGACCCCCTGGATGGGGATACAGGCTGGTCCCTTCGGGTTTCGAGGTGTGTGTGTGTGTGTGTGTGTGTGTGTGTGTCTGTGTCTGTGTGCGTGTGTGTCCCCAACTGGGGTGCAAGGATGCGGGGGGTCTGGATGGGGATGGGGATGGGGATGGGGATGGGGAATGGGGATGGGGATCGGTTCAACGATACCGACCCCTGGCGCTGGTGGTGTCGCCTCTCTCCCGCCCGCTTGGGGCACCGCCTCCGGCGCTGAGCGGACGCCCGTCCGGCCCCATGCCCGCCGGTGTGGATGCCGGCCCGGCTCGCTTCCCCGCCGCGCGGCCGCCTTGACGCGCCAGCAGGAGCCGCGCGGCGACCCCGCCGCTTCGAGGGGGGAACAACAGGTCGCCTCTCCTTCCTCCCAGCAGTGGATCAGTGAGGCAGGAGGCGTGAGTGAAAGAGAGTGATACTAAGCCAAGCAGCACGGAGCGTGCACGAGAAAGGCTGGGTGAGTGAACAATGACGTCCCTCTCATCCACCCAGGTTCTTTCGCGCACCCGTGCCCAGGAGAAGGGGGCATCTTTGACCTTCTGTTGTGGCCCGCCCCGAGGGGCCAAGCTACACCCGACGACAGCACACGGACCACCCCGAGACATAGCGCGGACCATGCTCAACCCATTGCGCCACTGATGCAGGTTTCGCTGAGTCCACACACGGGATGCGAGGAAGAGGCTGGCCGAGACTTCGCGCGAGGAGGACATGAGGAGTCAGCTCGGCCTCACAATTTCTGGGAGCCAGCCCATCATATTGGGGACTACCGCGCTCATCACAGCCCGCTTGTAAGGCGCGCGCGCACGCGCACACATACACGCACCAAAACATTCAACACACCAGCGCGCGAAAATGCTTTCATCGCATGCGCCCCAGCCGATGCGGCGGTGAGCAGCTATCGATGAACACGCAACGCGCACACTCGCATACCTGTTGCATCTGCCGGTCTGTTCGCGGTACCGCGGCCAGTCGAAGCGTAAGCCCGGGAGGCCAGCTTCACGCTCGAGCGCAGAGGCAGAGGGTAAAAGGGGGGGAGCGCGTCGTCCTACGCGTCTAGCGAGGAGAAAGATCCTGCGAGGAGGCAGGGCGAGGACGACAACGGCGGGGACGCTGAGGAGTAGCCGCGCCCCGTGCGTGTGCGCCGGGCCTGGATAGGAGCGGCACTTGCACGAGGGGGGTGGGCCCCTGGGCCTCTGGCGCCTCGAGCAAGCTCAGACGAGGGAGGAACGAGGAGGCCGAATAGGAGGAGGCCGAGTAGGAGGAGAAGGAGGAGGAGGAGGAGGAGGAGGAGGCCGAGTAGGAGGAGAAGGAGGTGGAGGAGGAGGAGGAGGAGGAGGAGGAGGAGGGTCCTCCGCCTTCTCCTCTCGGGTAACAAACAACGACATAAACCTAAACTGTCTCAGGTCCGTGCGAATGTCTCGGAACGGCGCTGGGGCTACCTGGCGGCGCCTCCGGCGCCGCCCCTGGCGCGCCCCGTGAGCCAGTGAGTTGTTGCAGGCTTGTCGCGACAACTCCAAGTGAATTTCTTGCGATATTCCGCTGTGGGCCGTCGAACATGTCCACTCGATTATTCGCACACCACGTTCTTGGATTGGTCTCACATGTTCTCACACAAGTATTGTATCGTTGGCGGCGCGCAGAGGGGGGTAGGGAGGTGGGGGAAGGCTTCTTAGAATGAGCCTGCTTGAAAGAAGGCGCCAGCCTTACGTCTACAGACAAGACAAGGCCCGAGCCTTCTAAGAAGCAGGGGTGCTTCTGAGAAGCCGTCCCCCTTCCCCCGTACCCCCCCTCCTCGCTTCATGGGGCTGCGGTCGGAATAAGAACTGCGTTCGTTGCCCTGCCTCGCAGGCCGTGTGAATCATCCGTTAATCTGGTGTTCGCCCGTTTGACACGAGGGCCGCCTCAACGCCGTGTCCAGCCGACCTCCTGCTCCCCGCAGTGCCGGCGGTCCGGCCCGTTGAAGCATTCGCTTTAAGGCATGCGGAATGCCTCTACCACCATGCACCGAGACCAGGGTCCTTGCAACAGGTTCCAGGACCAGAAGGTTTGCTCTCCCAACCTTCACGAGCATCGCCTTCGTCTCATCAGGGTTCCGACTACCCTCCGAGGCAGCGGCAAGAACACCTACAACATGCAAGCTGCAATCCTTTGGTCCGTCTTTCCCCTTCCTCGTTGCACACGGATGTCCGAAGTTCAATCCAAGGACAGAACAGGACCCAAAGAACGAACGGCCAGGCTAAGGAAACGCCTGTAGAAGAGGCAGGGATGGGGATGGGGCCGAGGCAGACGGAGGACACGAGGGGAGAGGGAAATGGACGATTCCAAAGCCAACCCGCGCGCTCGCCTGGCGTAGGCTTCGTTCTGCCGCCCCCTCCTCCCCCCCACAGCTCACGATGGGGGGGCAAGCCACGATGGGGGCCACCATGGGCCACCGATTTCAGGGGCCCGGCATCCCTCACTGGGCGTTCTGCCAAGCACCTATCTGTACGGATGAATGTCACTAAAAAACCTATCTTTCCGATCCGTGACGTGTCAAGGGAAGCGACACGCAAAGCGTATGCGAGTGAACGGAAACGGGACGCCACGGCAACTCGAGGATTCGCCAGCGCAGGTCAGCACCTCGACGCGAGGAGCCACGCATTGACCCTGCGCACTCAACTTCTAGCGTGTGGCGGGTGCGTGGCGGGGCTCTCGCCTCCGATTCCGTGTCGCGGGCCTTGCTTTCGGTCGGCTGCGGGAGCTGCTCCCAGGCGCCGTCGTGGCAGCAGGCGGGATCAAACTGCCGTCGAATGCGGGCGGGAATGCGGAAGGCGTAGCGCAGGCGATGGAGGAGAAGGACGGGAGGGAGAGGAGGGACAGGAAGAGGCTGTTGCTGGGGGCAGGCCTAAAGCCATGCGATCCATGATCCGACGAACTCGGACCCGGCCGAATCCGACTCCTCGCCAAGGGAGACAGGGGCCCGCGTCGAGGCCCTTCCCCGAGCGCTCACCCATGAGAGATCCTCCTCGGCCAAGCTGAACTGCGACAAGACTTGCTCGCGCGGGGCGAAACATCCCCTCGCGAGCCTCAAGTTACAGCAAGGGCCCGACCACAAGAAGCCTTCCACGAGAAACCCAACCCTGAGACCCCGGGACGTCCACTGCCTTTTGGTGTGGGAGCGTCACGCTCTCCCTAGCGAAACCGCCGAAGCCCACGAAACCCAGGGCACCCTGGAGGCAAGCAGGGTGTCTCTTGGCATGCGCCCCCACTGCACTGGGGAGCCCCCCGCATCGGCCTCAGCGGCTGCGGGCCCGCCCTTTCCGGGGTCTCGGCCAAGTCCCGGCGCGTCCGGCGAGGCCCTCGCCCCTCGGGGGCACCCGTCGTTGTCCCGCCCTGCACGAGGGAAGCTTGAGCTGCTCAACTTTAAGTCGGGCATGTCCCTCTACAGGAGGCATATTCAGAAACAGGCAAAAATTGTATAGGGATGACTCTTCGACTACGTTCGACTATATATTTGAGCAATCGTTGGACTATTCTTTGTTTTCCGTTCAAAACCCACCTGTAGGGGGACATGCCCGACCTAAGCTTAGCTCGCCTCGGCAGATGGTCGGCCACCCCTCCTGCGCCCCCGTACGAGGCCTCTGCAGAGTTTCTTCAGGGGGCTTGCGGTCTGCACCCCCCGCGGGAGGTAAAACACCCCACCTGCAGCAGAAGCATGGCTTGCCGAAGGGGTCTCCTTGGGAGACCCTGGCCTGGGCAGCTAAGAAGAACGCACGCTTCTCGACCCGATGCACCTACCGAACGTGCGTCCAAGTCCCCCCGCGTGCACGTCCAAGGCCTCTGGGAAGTCCTCAGAAGCCTCAGAGGCCTCTGAGAAGTCCTCAGGGACCTCGGAGAAGTCCTCAGATGCCTCTGAGAGGTCCTCGGAGGCCTCTGAGAAGCCCTCAGAGGCGTGTGGAGGCGGGCTGCATGGTTGTAGAGTGGCCGGTGTGGTCGCAAAGGGGCTCTTCTGGTTGCAAAGTAGCCCTCAGAGGGCCGTTCTGATTGGGACGTGCACAACCATGCTTTGGAACGCCTTTTGGTGGGAAAGTCCCCCTTCTGGTTGTTTTTTTTGTTGGGGGGGGGGGGGGCCAGAAGTCCCGGGCGAAACGTGACCGAGATTAATTAATCTCGGTCGCGTTTCACCTGGGGCTTCTTCCAAGTTAAATCCCTAACCTAAACTCAAGTCCCCCCACCCGTCGTCCCCCCCCCGTCCTTCGCTCTGTCGGGTGGTACCGCGTCCTCGCCCTGGGCCAGCTCCTCCGCCTCTGGCCGGCCAACCTCGGGCACCGGGGGAGGCCTCCTGCCCGCGAGCCGCGCACACGACAGGAGCTCGACGGTATCCCTGTGCTCGACCAGAGGCTGCAATCAAAAACCCTAACAGGGACGCAGGACCCTTGGGAGCCGAAGTTGGGATTTCTGGGGCGGCGGGCGACGAAAACCTCAAGGACGCAAGAGCAAGGAGGAGCAAGGACGCAAGGGTACCCTGAGCAAAGTCGCGCGTCCTTGTTATTAGGGTTTTTGACTGTAGGTGCACCTCGAGCGACGCCCCCTACGCCCCAGCCCTCCTCGTCGGGCCTCCCGAGACTCGGCCAGGATTGGCGCGGGCGGCAGGGACTCCGTGCTTGTCAGCTCCCACCCTGGCAGGCCCGTCGGCCGACTCGGCGGCCTGCCTCTCCCAGGGTGTCGGTCGGCCTGTGTCGATGTCGCTCGACGTCGCGTGGGCCAATGTTGGGAAAATCCTCCAAGTCCTCGGGCTGGAAAGAACTCCAGAAAAGCGTCCACAGGGATGCCCCAGTAGGAACCTCAGGTCCCGTGGAGAACCCGGGACATTTGGCTAAAGCATCGGTCGTAGACTGGCAGCCCGTGTGCAGCTGAACTGGCGGAATGCCAACATGCTCGAGCATGTATACAGCAAGCAGTCAGACCTAGGACATAAAAACATCCTTCAAGAACATGAGACCCTCCGCCGACCAAAACACCCGAAAACCATAAGACCACTCGACATCCAACAAAAATGAAAAACATGAGGGCCCGCTCCCCGAACCGACCTCTATCTTACACCTCGGTCCGACCGTAAGTGTCCCCGTCCTTGCTGGCCTGGGCAGGAGCGGCACTCAAGGGAACAGGTCCGTAAGCCGCGTGCTGGGCCTGTCCTCGGCTGTTGACAGAGTCAGTGGCCCAACCCCGCCCGCTCGAGGCGGGAGGGAGAGGAGGAAGACTGAGCAGGAGGGGAGAGAGAAGGGGCGAGAGGGGGGGAGAACGAGGAGAGCGAGAAGGGGGAGGAGGAGCACAGGTCAAGTAGGAGGGCAGGAGGAGAAGGACACGGGGAGGAGGAGGAGAAGGAGGAGAAGGAGGAGGAGGAGGAGCACCATGAGTGCGAGGACGAGGACGATGAGGCGCACTGGCGGACATTAAGAAGCCAGGAAGGGGGTGGCGGAACGACGGGACGGGGAGGTGGAGCCTCCGAGCAGTCCTAGGTGAGCGCGAGTCAATCAACCGAAACCTCCCGCTCGAAGAGCTGATGAGGGCCCGAGGGTGGGCACTGGCTTGCCCTTCTCGCTCCATCTGTCCCTCCTTCCTGCTCGGCGCTCCTCCTGGTGGTACTCCTCCATCTTCCCAGCTCGTGGTGCCTCCCCCCTCTTCCACGTTCTCTCCATCCACATCCTCACCCTCGTCCCCCATCTTCGTCCACTTCTCCCCCCCCCCATTCCTTCCTCAAACGACCCATCCCTCCCATGCTCAACCGCCTTCTCGGATACCTCGTCCGTCGTGCTGCAGGTCTTTTCCCCTGGCTCCTCAGCGCCGCACATCTGTCCACTATGCCCAGGGCCGAGGTTGGAATGGCAACGTGGTCGATGTTGCTGGGTCTCCAGATGGGCCGCGGTAGGTCGGTCCGCAGTCTCAGTCTGTCGTCGATATGGAGAGTCCGCTCTGAGCGCAGAGATGCCCGAATACCCTGCCGTTCTGACTTTCCAGCTTGCCCCCGAAAGGGCCCGCAGTAGCTTTGTCGATCATTCGTGTCACGAGGGTGCATTCAGGGTTTCTGCGATGTCCAAACTGCGCGTGTTGAGATCTCCTCCTACGATCGGTGTGGTCCTCGCGCCCAGTTGGTATCATTGTTGTTCTACCCATCCCACTATTATGCTCGCTATGTTCTCGTACCTCGAGTACTAAGTGGGCGCCAGGTATGATACGAAGAGAGCCAAACCACCTCATTCCCAGCACACTCTGACCTCTGGCATTATCATGTGTATACTGCTCGGTGGCGTGTAGATCTTTCTGAGCGCCCCCTTACACATTCTGCAATTGATCAATATTGTAGCACCTCATAGTTTCGAAATCCACTTGTTTGTTCCTGCACGCTGCATTCCCCAGTGAAGACTCGTGATACATGTATTATTATGTTCAGGTCCCCCTGCCCACTTGCGCGTTCCGCTTAGTAGTACTTTTCCCCAGTGGCGCACTTCGCTGTGAATGCCTCCAGTCTCTCACAAGTGCTGGCCGCACTCGGGTTGCACATAAAGATTCTCATGAGGAGCGGAGACAAAATGCGCGGAAGAAATGAAACCATCCCCCCTCCCCCTCCCTGTCCTCGGAGGATTACTCACGCCTGGGCTGCGGCATGGTGCGCTCTTGCGCACGTCGGGCGAGTCGTTTCCTCAATCGCTCGCTCCGCCGAAATGCCGACTAGGAGGAGGAGGAGGAGGAGGAGGAGGAGGAGGAGGAGGAGGAAGAAGAGGAGGAGGAGGACGAGGACGAGGAAGAGTAGTAGGAGGAGGGGGAGGAGGGGGGGCGGAGGAGGGAGAGGAGGAGGGGGAGGAGGAGGAGGAGGAGGGGGAGGAGGAGGAGGAGTAGGAGGTGAAGGAGGACAAGGAGGAGGAAGAGGAGGAGGGGGAGGAGGACAAGGATGAGGAGGAGGAGGAGGAGGAGGAGGAGGAGGAGGAGGAGGAGGAGGAGGAGGAGGAGGAGGAGGGAGGAGGAGGAAGAGGGGAGGAGGAAGAGGGTGGAGGAGGAGGAGGAGGAGGAGGAGGAGGAGGAGGGGAGGAGGAGGAGAGAGGAGGAGGAGGAGGAGGAGGATCCGGCGGGCGAACCTGAGCATCCCGCCGGCGGCCCGCTCGCCCCCGCCGTCCCGAGAGCGCCCCCCCCCCCACGGGAGGCCCGGCGCGCGCCCGGCGCGCGCGCGGGGCGCGTGGCGCCCGAGCTCGCTGGCAGAGGGGGCAGGCGCGGCGAGCGGGCTCCTCGTTATACCTCTGTACATATGTATGTATATGTGTACCTCCTCCTTTTCCTCCTCTACCTTTTCCTCCTCCTATTCCTCCTCTTCCTCCTCCTCCTCCTCCTCCTCCTCCTCCATCTCCTACCTATGACAGCGGTGGTGGAAAATCTGCTCATCATCTCTTGTGCGAGGTTGGCAGGGGCGCGGGGGGGGAGGTAAGGCGAGGGAAGGGAGAGAGCAGGAGAAGAGGAGGCCCCCACACACGGCGGGTGCTGGCTCTAGGTGTAGTCTCGGGGGCCGTGGCGGGGCGAGGGGGGGGGGGAACATGCTCAGCGTGTCGCCGAGAAGCCAGGCTGGTCGCGCGCAGGCAGGGCAGCGAGGTGCGACCGCAACGGCGAGGGCCGCTGGTTGGGCGTCGCTTCAAGGGAGGGCGATACATGAGAGGGGACACTTTTCGGGCCATGGAGGCTCCCTTTCGGGCCCTAAAGGGCCCCTTCAGGGGCCCTGTAAAGCCCCTTTTCTGCAGCCCTCGCTTCCCCTCATTGATCGCCCCCCCATGCCGCAACGCCCAACGAATGGAATTTTCAGACCTGTCGGCGCGACATCACACTGCATTACCACGTGATCGGTCGACCGTCTGACCGCACCCGCTTACCTGGTCAAACACCTCTGACCCCCCCTTCTGATTTCGACCGACCGACCGACCATCCGATCGCTTTGATACGCCTGAAGTGCGACAGCAAACGACCGGAATGGTCGTAATAGGTATATACACACTCTTAACACCAACGACCCGCGTGGTGCGACGGAAACGGCGGGACGACAGGCTGATGACGACGCCAGTGCTGAACTCCCGCGTGTCCTAGACGACAAATGGCAGATAGCCAAGCAAACGTGCGAGCAGGGTGGTGCGACTCGCGTAGGGTTGGGCGGATGAATACTCGGAGGAAATATTAAAATACGAAGTTGCATCGTTGCGACTGCGACGATGGCGGGGGGTACCCATAGATAGATAGACCGTCGACCTTAACGCGGGGCATGGCGACCCCAATCCCTTACTTTGTGGGAATTCCAAACTGGGCAGCAGATTTGAGGCCCAACTCAGGGATACAAGACGGGGGGGCGTACATCCTCGAGATGGGTGCGTCCGCATAGCCCCCAGGGGATGTATCCACGACTTCCCGACCTTTTCTGAGCTGCCATTTGTTGTTCTTGGGGATCTCGGGGGCCGTGCGAGAGAAAGCGCCTGCATGGAGGGTGCGACGGCGACGGCGCGGTGAATGAGCAAGCGAGCCCAGTTCAAAGCGTAGCGGCCCCGCTTCTCGGACCAGGGCTAACGTTGAGACGTCGGCGGCTCAGCAGCGGTCCCCGGCTCCCTCCCGGGGCCCGAAAGCACCGAGTTTCGGAGCGGCGTCTGGACGTGACGACGAGGGGCCCCCCGAAGGCCCTCTGACCGCTGCCTCAACTGGCACTTCCAACTGGCACTTCTCCGAGACGTGCGACGGGCCCCCTCCTCCCCTCCAGGAGGCCAGATGCGAGCCCTGCCCCACCATCCCACGACTTCTGAGGGGGGAGGTGGAGTTCCATTCCTTCGGGACCTCCCGAGCGAAGTGAATTCCACCTCCCCCCTCTTACAAATCGTAGGATGCTAGGGTAGCTTTCGCACGTATGTGGCCTCCTCACCTCCCTCGGCGCCTGCCGCACTCGACCGCGGACCGTGGCGTGCGAGCGCGCAGCTCCGGGCCGCGGGCGCCCGCGCGGTGCGCTCGCAGCGCAGGTCGCGGAACCGCCGCGGCGCCGTGCGGCGGGCGCCGGGCCACCCCGCGCGCGCGCCCCCAGTCGCCGCTCGAGCTCGCGGCACCGCGCACGGGAAGCGGCGGCCCAGCGCCCGCCCTGCAGCGCCGGCCTGCCAGAGCAGCACGATGGGCGCTGCGCACGCGGCCGGGGAACATATGCTGCCCCGATTGGCGCGGCGGCGGCCTCGGCGACATGCTATCTGCCCTGCGAGCAGGCTCCGCAAGGCTCGGGGCGTGGACGCTTTGGGGAGGGGGGCGTGGCTAGCGTGTCGCACCGGAGCGTGGTGTGCCAGAACCCGCGGCGCGACGCGCCAACCGGCAGTTCCAGACCGCGTGTCGGCCCCCAGGTGGAACGGGTCCCAGGGGTTCCCGCGTCCTCTCGGCGGAAATGGTTGGGGCGGGGGCGCGTTACACACGCACACAAACAGACGCGAACGTTCACACATAGCACAGATACACACATTCTCTTCCCCGACGCGCTGATGAAGGCAGTCGGCAGCCAGCAGGTGCAATAAGCAAAGACTGGATGCACGCTGAGCAAGCTGGCCACCTTGTGACACAGCCCACACACACACGCGCGCACATGCACGCACACGGGAACATGAGCGCGTTCGCTCCTCAGCCTCCTCCTCCTCCTCCTTCTCGTCCAGATGGCCTTTCCCCTTCCCCTCCTGATCCTCGTCCTCCTCCTCCTCCTCCTTTTCCTGCTCCTCCTCCCCCCACTCCTCATGCTCGTCCCGGTCGCTGCTGGTAAATACTCTAAGTTAGGTGCCGACTGCCGCGGGATATCGGACGATGATGCTGACTTTTGCAGGGGGCTAAGAGCCTAAGAGGCTTGTAAGTGGCCTGCTGACCTTGACGTTCCGATGGCAGGTGGACCCCGTAACACCACAGGCCTTCATGCATCGGCGTCTGCGGCTGGCAACGAAGGCCCCCTTCGGCAGCCCGACCTTGGCGGCGCTGAAGCTGAGGACCAGGCGCTGGCCGAAGATCAAAAGGAGGCTCGGGGGGGAGGCCTTGGGCTCGGATTGGATGAAGCTCTCTAGGTTGGTTTTTCAAGGCAAAACGCAATGCGTCTCTGCCTTGTCCCGTGATGATCGACCGTCTCGGTTCCCCCAGGAGCAGGATTCGATGTTGCCGTCGGTGCGGCACCTTCTTGTCGGGCTCCCCCAGCGCGGGGGCCAAAGGCCAGTGCCGACCGAAGTTCACCACGGGCGGGACAGGCGACCAGTTGCGGCGAGTTCGGCTTAGTATTGCATGTCCTCCTACAGAAGGATTTTCGAGGAAAACTTTAAAATAGTTCAACCAATGCCCCCAACTGGTCAAAGAATAATGAAGGCATCGTCCCCTGACTATTCTTTGACTATTCTTGAACTCCTATAGAGGGACATGCCCGACTTCAGCTTAGTAATCTCCCGCCTTGCAAAAAGGGCCTGAACGATGCAACGCTGGGGGCCCATCGGGGCCTCAACCTCGCCGGGCGTGGCCTCAGACGCCGGACGAGAGGATGGTCGGGCCCCCAACTATGACTCGGGCCTTCACTGTGCTGGGATCGCGCAGGGCTCCGCCCCGCGTGGCCAGGTCTTGCCTTCGTTCGGCCTCGAAAAAGGCCGACCTCCCCTGTGCGAACGCTCGAGGGGGGGGGTCACGGCCCAAGCGGCGCCCGATGAGTCTGGCGAGCCAGGCTCGGATGCCGACGGTTCCTGCTGACATCATGGACTGCTAGGCTTTGGGCCCGTCCCCAACAACCTCGTCCTGACACGGATCCTCTGGTCCACGGGTCCTCCGCCGCCCTGGT